CTTCTCTGAATAAGGTGCCTCTCCCTGTCCTGTATTTATTTTTTTTAACATCCCTTTTAACTTGGCTTGAGATTGATTGAGACATTATCTTGGACCTGGAAGCCGGGATCCATATTGAAATGACAAACACTTGTTGACAGCATTGAGAAGATGGATTGAAAACAATTCTGACAAGGCCCACATGTTTGTTTTCTATGGAGTCTTTAGAATAGTGTTGTGTTTGTTATTTAGGATTGGGAAGAAAAGTTACACCTCGGTAGCAAATACAGTATGTTCTTAGTCTATCTTATCAACATCTCTAGAGTGTATCTGCTTTTTGCATAAGATATAATGAATGGATCAAAGTAGAAATTAAAAGTTCATCACTAGAGGCAAGTTATGTTTCTCTTCACTTTTGGTATATGTGCTATTATAAATCACAAAGTTCAGTAGTGTCATAATTACTTAACATATGAGTATAAACTAGATGAGTAATAGTAACCCAATATAAAAACATGGTAGAGTAGAAAAGCACAAATCCTGTAACAGGTACCTAGTAGGTATTTGTCCATTGGTATAATAGTACTGTATATTGTCATCAGTTGACTATGAGGAGAAAAATGATGCACTTATTACTCCTAATAGCAGGAGCACTGTGGCTCCATCTGATAAGCACTGGACTGCGAACTGCAAGGTCTATGGCTAGAGTCCACCAGCCACTCCTCGGGAAAAAGATGAGACTCTCTGCTCCCTCAAAAATTGAAAATCTCCAAAACCCTATACAGGGTCGCTGTGAGTCAGAACCAATTGGAGACAATTAGCAACAGCAAACTCTATTAGAACTATTGAATTGGTTTCCAAATTAATTATAAGACAAAGATAAGTAGAATTTTTTCTAAGAGTCTCCTTTTCCAGGACACCAGTTGTTTTGTAGGAATGATGTATGAAATGAAATGATTTGAGGTTGTTAGTTTTACTGTTGTTAGGTGCCATAGAGTCGGTACCGACTCATAGCGACCTTATGCACAACAGAATGAAACACTGCCCGATCCTGGGCCAACCTCACTACTGGTGCCATTTGAGTCCATTGATGCTGCCACTTGGCCAATCCATCTCATTGGGGGTCTTCCTCTTTTTCTCTGACCCTCCACCTTACCAAACATGATGTCCTTCTCCAGTGATGCATCCTTCCTGACAGTATATCTAAAGTATGAGAGACGAAGTTTGGCCATCTTGGCCTCCTAGGAGCACTCTGGCTGCACTTCTTCCAAAACAAATTGGTTCTTTTGGCAGCCCATATCACATCAAGCTGTGTAACATCTCCCCACTTTCTTCTGGGAACGAAAAATGTCTTTCCTGTAGAAAAATTGGGAGTGACTGAGGGGTCACAAATGGTTAAATGCTGGGCTATTCACCTAAAGGTTAGTGGTTCAAAACCACCTAAAGGTGCCTTGTGAAGAAGGGCTGGTAATTTGTTTCCGAGGGTACAGTCATGAAAACTCTGTGGAACAGTTCTACCCTGCACACGTGTGGTTCCCATGAGTCAGAATTGACAGCAAGTGGTTTGGGGTTCTTGGTTGGTTGGTTGGTTGGTTGCTGTAGAGAAGCTGCTCCATGTGGTTTGAGTGGGGAACTGTGTCATGACCTCTTGACCTCTCTCCTTAAGCTACACCCTCCTCGTGCTCACAGAATCATTGCCTGCTCCCCTGGCTGTGACGATGCAGAGCCATGGTGGTTCAGGGTCTTTGCTCCTGGCTCTCTCATGAAACACACTTCCTGCTTGCTGGAAAGAGCCTTTATACAGAACTAAGCCAATGATATTCCAGGGATGGAAAGTATCAGACTCCTCATAGCATTATTTGAGCCTCTGAATCTAGTTACTGCTAAGGGCTGGTGCAACCCAGAAGTGAGACCTAACAAAGCCCCATTGTTCTTTGTGCTGATGTGATTGGTGTTTCTGCCGTCCTACCACAAGTCTGAGCAGTATAAGAGATCAAAGAGATGCCGGAGGGCGAGCAGTATGGAATGTATGACAGACTAGGAAGGAAGAAGATGAAGGAGTGACTTTAAATAAGGAAAAGCTTTAAAATGGGAAATGTTCCAAAATATTGGTGGATTTTTAAAAGAAAACTGAGAGAAAAACTTTTTTCTTGAAATGTTAAGCTAAACAGGAAGCAAAAGTTGTTTGCTGAAGGCAAAAGCAAGAAGTTATTCGTTATTTATTGCTCTAATTTTTGAAAAATTTGCATTGTTCACATGTGTTAGGACAGTGGAGGCAAAAGGTAAAGACCTATGTTATTGTTAACTACTGTTGAGTTGGTTCCAACTCAAAGCGACACTGTGTCGGGTTTCCTGGAGAGGCTGATGGATTTGAACTACCAACGTTCAGTTATCAAGTATCACAGCTTCTCCTACAGTGTCACATCAGTCTATGCAAGGACTCTGATGATCCGTGTAAGGTTGACTTAAACCGGAAAGGGCAGAAGTGAAGCTTTGGAGAGATCTTGATCCGTGGACTCAATGTTTGGTCTTTGCCTCAGGCCGCTTGTACCAAATCCCATGGCCATAGGCAACCTGAGACTTTTGTATGTAAAATCCCTGGGAAAGATTCTTAATTGACCCAGTGAACCATACATTGTATCCAGGAATGGGGTAAGGCCCTGTCTTAAATGGCTGCTTCTGAGACCCAGTGAATGGCGTCTTCTACTAGAAGACCGCAGGTAAAGTTCAGATGTGACCCCTGGGGATCACCTGGGCAGTGAGCCAAACTGTGTTCATGTCAGTGTATTATGTTTGATATTACTCAAAGCGTGAGGGTAGTTAGAGCCACTGACAATGATAATAACATTATGAGGTGATTTATTGTATGGGGGAAAAAATGTGTTGTAAAACCAGAGGAATAAACATGAGTAGACCAAAGCCACTTACAGGTTCTAAAACAACTGTTGAAGTGTTTAAATTTCTCATCTAAATATACTATGTCTTAGGTTCTGGAAATGTAGTACAAATAGCTAAACTAAAGCAGTAAACTTACAGAAAGTGCATAAAAAACAGAATAAAGTAACATGATGCATTCTGATCCTTGGTGTTAGGAAAAATTGTCCGGCCCTCATGGAAATGAGCTGTAAGTCTGAGGTAGCATGGCATTTCTACCCAAATGTTGCTTTTCCTGATAAATTTAAGCATTCATAGCTGTCAAAAGCTACTGCCAAGTTATGGCACCCAGAAGTTCAATTGCTACATTCCACACCTCAGTTCTCAAGAGTCCTGGGGTAGCACTGTAGGATAAGCACTGGACTGCCGACCACAAGGTTGACTGTTCAGACACATCAGCCACTCCTTGGAAGCATTATGCAGGATGGCTATGAGTCAGAACCGACTCTACAGCACCTTAACAGTAATAACAGTACCTCAGTTGCCGTCTTTGAATTGCTGACCTGCCAGAAACTTATAGATGATAATAACCTTTATCGGCCAAACTAAATGATTCATTAGAATTCCTGAATTAAACACAAACATACCCCCACAAACTTGAGAACTGCCAAAACCGTTACAAGAGTTTCTGTGTTATTTTTGACAAAACCTGTTATTGTGTTGTTCTTAAGTGCCATTGAGTCATTTCCAACTCATAGCAACCCTGTATAGGGCTTTGAGGAGCAACTTGTGGGTTTGAACCGCCAAGCTCACGATTAGCAGCCCAGTGCTTATCCTACTGTGCCACACATCAGAACTCCAGACAAAACTTTACAGATATATTTGAATAACAGGATTTATCATTGGAATTTTCATTTGTCCTCTGAAATTAAATTAGTAGTTCATATTTCAGGTCATGAAAGAATGTTTCAAATACCCATGGGATGTATTTGCAAAGCGAGAAATGGAGGGAAATGTGAACATTTAAGAGAAAACATTTCATTTATATGCAGTTTCAACTAGTTCAATCAAGAATATATAGACTCTTAAAGGCAAAGAGCTTTTAAAAAAAAAAATTTATAAACTGTATATCACTCTTTAATGCTTGTGGTCAGCCTGTACAAGTATAATGTATCTGCACTGTGTTCATTAATGATTAAGTGCTTCTGTTAGGACTGTGCTGCTTGCATAGTTCTCTGTGATTTCTCTCCAGACTTACGAATTCACGTGTCTCAGAATACTTGGCATTTAGATCCTTAGGTATGATATTGAGATTGAAAAGTTAAATATTGTAAAAGTGTGGTGCTGTTGAAAGTAATGGCAAATCAGCCATCATTAATAATGAGTCCATTAGGGTTTTGGAGTACCACAGACTGCCAAAGAAGAGACAGATCTGTGTTGGAAGAAGTACAGCCAGAATGATCATTGGAAGTCAGGATGGCCAGACTTCATCTCTCGTACATCTCTTATTGGATATATTATCAGGGGGGACCAGTCCCTGGAGAGGGATATCATGCTTGGTAAAGTGGAGGGTCAGCAAAAAAGAGGAAAACCCCCAACAAGATGGATTGGCATAGTGGCCACAGCAACAGACTGAAGCTACGATTGTGAAGTGGCAGTGTGTCATTCTGTTGTGAGTCAGTACCGACTTGGTGGTACCTAACAACAGCAGCCCAGACACACTGGAATGGGTACCATACTTACTGTGTACCCTCACGGTCCTAATGATGTTTGTTGTTGTTCATTTGCTTCAGCCCTGATAGTTGACTGATTCTTTGTTGAATCGTAGGCTCTAGAATGTGTGAAGAACTCTGAAATCATTGCAACACTAATGCATGTAACCCAACACAGTGGCTTTAAAGAATAGAATTGTATAGTTAATAAGTGGTTTTCAAAGTGCACAAAACTAAAACTGTGTATATTCCTAAAAATCAATGCATGTAGGTTTAAAAATCTGTCTCAGAGAATTTTAACGCAGAGTGCCAAGACTGTTCCTTCATACTGTCAGAATTAAAATGGCTTTAATGGTGGAAGTATTTGTGGAACTTGAGCAGCTAGAGGAGAAGAAGTGTTTCACATTATATGTGTCTTTTTCCATCTTTTTGCAGTTCTTTGAGGTGCCATTTGATTCAAACATGAATAGGACAAAGAACAGACCTCTCGTTCGTGGACAGATCAGGTAACTTGAGTCTTTGACCTAGAGTTCTGAAGTCACAGTATACCTTCAACCGGGCAAATGGTGTGGGTACTTAGTACTTTTCACACCACTGTTGACTGCCGAGCACTTAATACAGAGCATACATTTACCATTTTGTTGTGGGGATAATTTGCAGATTATTCAACCCAGTTTTGAGATATTGACTTTGTTTTACTTTCTAGTGGTTTAAGATAAAAACATTCCATTAACACAAATGATTTTTAGACAGATCCATCTGAGTTCATGGAAGAAAGATATGCCCAAAATGTAATTTTTTCAAATAAACTGATGATGATGTTACAAGCCTCGGGAAGCACTGCCTCTATCACTTCCCTTTCTACCAAATGCAATTAAGTAGACCTAGAAGTCATATAAATATTTTAATATCACTAATGGTTAATAATTAAACATCTTGCTTCCTGAAGACCTCTAAATCGGCATTAAAACAATTCTTTTTTTTAACTCTACTGTATATCACAGGCTTAGAAGAATAAAAAGGGACAAATGGTTTATACTGACTCTTCTAAGCCTTCTCTCCATGTTTTCAAGCAGTGTCTTCATAGAGCTTAAAAATGCATTGGGATAATAGTTTTCAATCAAGTAATAACACTTATTAACTGGTGTGGTGCTGTGGGCTAACGCGCCAGACTGCAAAGCCGTTTGATCTGCAAGGTCAGCAGTTCCAGCTCATCAGCTGCTCTTTGGAAACCCTTTACAGGGTCGCTATGGGTCAGAATCGACTCGACGACACTTAGCAACAACAACAATTAAGTAAAACAATTGTAGATGCAATTATAGAAGCCTTTGAAAAAAAAGGATTTTTTAAATTAACTTTAACCATTCATTTCCTAGTGAATTTTAAATACCATTATATATATATATATATATTTAAAGGACAATTTATATACAAGGGGACTCTGAAGCATTTGTGGGGAAATGCCATTATCTTTTAATTCAATTTTCCCACAAACTTTCTGAAACCTCCTCTTAGAAGCAGATTTAAGAACAAAACCTGCATCTATGATATTTTATTTCCTTTTTTGAAGTATAAGCAAAATGATGTGTCATGTTTATGTTTAGAAACTGTCAGAAATACTTTTGTGTAAAGTGGTTTCTCTTTAGCTGGGGAACACAATTCTTATTACTCATCTCAAAACAACAACAACAACAAACCCCCTGGTTTTGCCACTGATTCAATCACAGGTAAGTGATTTGAGTTAGATTTTATATCCAGTCCTTTATTTTCAATAACAATCATATGTTCCTTTGGAACCAGGAGGAATGTAGGAATAGGCCCAGCAAATACAGTCCTTAGGAAAGTAGTGATAATCTTTGCCCTGGTGTTATTAAGTGCCGTTGAGTCGATTCTACTTAAAGCACGTCTGCATATGGTTTCCAAGGCTTTAAATCTTCCAGGGAGCAGAAAGCCTCATCTTTACCCAGGTAGCGTAGTGGTTACGTGCTCAAACGCTAACCATAAGGTTGGTGATTAGAGCCCACCAGTGACTCTGCAGAAGCCCTGTTGGCACTGTACGATAAGCACTGGACTGCCAACTGCAAGGTCAGCAGTTCAAACCCACCAGTCAGCTCCATGGGAGAAAGATGAGGCTTTCTGCTCCTGTAAAGCTTTCCAGCTTCAGTAACCTTATATAGGTGGCTGTGTTATAGAAAAAAACTCTTCTAAGCGATCCATTAACATTTCTCGCTGTTGGTGGCTCTCACACTCACAACAGTTATTGGCTATTTAAATACAATACTTATTAGCATAATTTGTCATTTTCTTTTGGGAATTTACTATCTGCTTTGATTTGGAGTGACATACCTTGTTAATTTATACAACTTTATAGACTCCTTTACAATTTGACATGTGAAGACTGAGTCCCTGTCATTGGGAAGTCTGGAAAAGAATTCCTTTGGAAGTCTGTGCTGATGACAGCTATCTCAGCCTTTGTAAACAGATTGGTTTTTGTCCATTCTAAAGACATCCTGTAAACATTTATGGAAACAGTCTATTTTCAGTAATTTTTTTCAAGTGATTGAATTCTACTTTGAAAATTGCTATTGATAGGAACACCATTTTATTCGGAAATGTAAAAGTACTGCGGTTACACCTAAGACAAGAAATGTGTGGGGACTCATCATTGTGATGTCCTGAGAAATTGGGAGCCCCCGGTGCAGTCATACTGCCGAACACCTTGTAGAGTTGACTGGGAAGCTAGAGGGTTTTTTGTTTTGTTTTGTTTTTGCTTGTTCAATGTGATTCCAGAAAGAATGAGTTATCCTCAGATACTTTTAATAAACAGAAAAATATCTAATGGAAGTCATGATTATGGAAAATAGAATATGGGCTAAATCCTGTTAATATCTCAGGAAAAGTTTACTGTGAATAAGCTTGAGCCGTAATTTCATTCTCCATTTTCTGTTGCTATCAGTTATATAATAATGACAAAGCATTACGTGTATTGTTTATACTTCATTTTCACTGTCGCACCATGAGGCAGATGCTGTTAAATTCTATCAGTATTTAGGATACGAAACTGAGGCTTTAAGAGAATAAGCAATAGCTTGCCTATGCTGTTTTTCTGAGTAAGTGGCAGAACCAGAATTTGGTGCTGGCTCATTTAATCTCATTCCCTGAGGTCCTAACAAGTACACTTAACAGTCTCTCAAAGACTTTGTCCATCCAAGGAAGTACCACTTCGGAGAGCTCAAATTTCTGTCTTGTGGTTCTTAAAGAACAGGACACTTGATAATGATGTAAGAAGAATATCCTCAGTAAATTCAAGAAAAACGATGATCAATAGCCACTTCTGTAGAGAAGAGCAAGTAGCAGGCATCCCTCAGGCAAAGACAAAGGCAAAGTACCAGAGAACACATCCCAGTGAGAACCTTGGAATGTGTGTCCTTAAAGCAAGCAGTGAGGGGAAACACTGGACAGGCAATACAGCCCAAGGTTACATCTCTTATGGTCAGCTTAATCCAGAGAGTAAGCCAAGACAGGGAAAGAAAAAGGAGAGACAATGTCCATGTTAATGAGCATCAAGTGGGCGCCAGAATCAAGAGGTGAAGTAGGGAGTGATTTGCCTCATAGAACGGTTGGGTGTGTTGGTAAGCCGGGCAGTCCTGGTTCATGCCTGTGGCCCCAGCAGAGTTGTTACTAGTGACTGCTCCGTTCTGAAAACTGTCCAGCTGGGTGATAACTGTAAGCCATACTTTAAAAAGGGGCTTATAATGATCACGGAATTTCCTTTATTTTTAAGGTTGTTGTTGTTAAACGCTGTCGAGTCAACCCTGTATAGGGTTTCCAAGGAGCAGCTGGTGGATTTGAACTGACGACTTTGTGGTTCACAGTCCAGTGTTGGTTCTACAGTACCACACCAGGAATTATTTCATATAAATTCCAAATGCTTATTTTGCCTGTAAGAGAAAACAAAAAAACACAGAAATGGGAAGTATCGTGTATCTGAATTAGTTTATGGGTAGGCATTGTAATACACACTCCTTCTAAATTCCTTTTTAAAACTGCACTCTTATGTTTTCTTGCAATTGAAAAAGATAAATACAGTCAACTAACCTGTTTGGACATTTCTGGCAAAAAATAACAATGGACATTGGGAGGAAGGAGTTGGACTGAGCTCTCCCTTTTATTCTCTGAAAAAGAGCACACGTCAGAATTAATTCACATGTTCCATATCAGAAACTGACATTGAAGCTGAAATCTACCAACTCAAAAGGATATCATGAAGATCAGTGTCACAGAAATTTACTTCCTTATTAGAAAATCAGAAGCATAGTCCAACTTTAATGAGGTGACAGAAAAAAGTTAATTATCAACTCAGAAAAAAAAAGTCTATCATAGAAAACATGTCAGTCTTCAGATATTCTGAATCTGGTCATCAGTGGCTAAGTGAAAACCGTTACCTAACTTGGAGCGCTGGCGTGGTGCTGTAGGATAAGCACTGGACCTCAAAGTTGCCGGTTCAAACCCACCAGCTGCTCCTCGGAAACCCCATACAGGGTTGGTATGAGTCGGAACCAACTCGACAGCACTTAACAATAACAGCTTACTTTAGGTTTGGACAAGTCACTTAATCTTTCCACAAGACTGCATCCTCATGTAAAATTGGATGGTTTCTATCCTGTTTATTTCTTAAGATTGTGTGAGTATAACAATAAGATCAAGAAACTATGTACATAAAAGTGAATTCTTGGGAAAGACGTTTAAAACCCTAGAATTTTACAGAGTAGTTCATAGAACTTTCATCACTTTTCAAGCTTTACTTTAAAATATATGTATTTACTATTATGTTAATTTTATATTAATGTTATCAGGTGATAACATAAAAAAGAAATTCAAGTTAATTATAAGAGATAGGGAGAATGAGGAAAAACCATTGCAAGTAAGAGGGCTCAGAGTGAACATTGCATATTTTTCATTATATTAAAGATTACACTGGTAGCAGAAACCACTCAATGAAAACTAGCCTCAAAGTTTAGTGAGTCATTCACTCCTGCTATCATCTCAGGTTACATTTACCAAGAGCATTGTATGTTCATAGAAGTATGCTAGTTGCTAGGGTACAAGGAGGGAAATGAAGTAGAAATGACCTTTTGTGCAAGAGAAATACAAATGTATAGATATACATCAGTATAGATACACAAGGAGACTTCAAGAAGTTCATAGAAAAATTCCATTATCTCTTCATCCGTTTTCCCCCTGATTTTTGGAAGCCTCCTCATGTATGATTTATATCATCAAGACCCTGAGAAGACCATTCCAATAGAGGTAGGAGTTAGTATGGAAAGGAAGTGAGTGTAAAGATTAGGTAGAGAGGTTGTAGACCTGGACATCTCAGTAGATAAATGAAGCAAACACCTGCCAGGCAAGAGAAACATAGTGAGCAAAGATACAAAGGTAGGTAAAACATGCATTTAAAGTTTTTATGTGAAATTAACCCACTGGAATTTGAGTGGAAGATTTG